AGCAGACTCAGAGACTCCATGAAGGGACTAGCGGTTACCAAAGGGGAGGGTAGGTGGGGAGGGAGGGAGAAGGGGATTGAGGGGTGTTATGATTGGTGCACATGGTGTGTGTGGGGTCATGGGGAAGACAGTGTAGCCCACAGAAGACAAGTAGTGACTCTGTGACATCTTACTACACTGATGGGCAGTGACTGCAATGGGGTATGGGGGGGGGGACTCAATAATAAGGGTGAATGTAGTAACCACATTGCTTTTCTCGTGAAACCTTCATAAGAGCGATACCTTAAGAGAAAAAAAAAAAAAGTAAAACAACGGAGTGTATTGGTTGCAGCAGGGTCTCTGCGCCTTCTACATTAAGTCCCCAGGGCCCCTGGAGAGGGCAAGCTAGTAGTTCCCATTTAGCTGACAACAACCTAGAACTTCCTTCTTCAGGAGACTCTGTCTTCTAATAAAATGGTGTGCAGAGGCCCCACATGCACATGGAAACAGGCCCAGAGAGGGTGAGGAGTCTTCTCAGGGTCACACAGCAGGGGGAACAGGTCTGTGGGACTCAGCTTTGGACTGGGACTCCTGCACGCGCCTGGCAGGGACAGACCCAGTTCGCCATCTGCTTAATGAGGAGCTGGAAGGAAGTGGGTGAGGAGCTCCTTGCCTGCTCTCCCCCAGAGGGAAGCTGGGGGGCTTGGGTGGGCAGCGCTGTGCATAGGGGGCCTGCACAGTCTTGGTACCGTGAGGACTGCTCAGGCCTGTCTTTGGGCCTCAGTTTCCCCGTGTGTACTGTGAGGGCTGCAGGGCTTAGGCAGGGAGGGACTCAGTGACCCGCGGGAGTTTGGAAGGGTCAGCCTGGCCCCCGCGGGGCCCTGACGGCCTGGCCGGTGCGGATCACGGGCACCACCCCAAGACCAGGACCCCTGCCCACCCTCCGTCCATAGCTTGGGGCTGAGAGGGTGCAACTGGGCCATGGTTGGGGGAGGGCGGCATTCGGAACCTGTAACTTTTCCATGACCGGTTTCCACATCTGTCAGGGTCAGGCTGTAGAGTGAGCCCCGGGAGGGATAGCAGGGGTCTGTGGTGTCCCCGGGATCGGAGAGGCGCCTACCTGGGTGGGCCGCAGGCCGGCCCAGCCTCCCCACCCACCTTCGCCTTGGTTGATTTCTGATCCGTGGCTGCCCCCTGGTGGCCGTGGCTGGCAGACCTTGCGGACGGCACTGCCCCGGGCCCCGGAGACACAGCAGGGATGAGCCAGAGATGCTGCCCCCGGGGGGCTTCAAGGCACATGGGGGATGCGGGAAAATGTGGGACAGAGGACAGCTGAATGTAGAACAGGCTGGACTGGCCGGGGGAAGGTGCCATGTGGGTCTGAGTGTCAATGGGGAGGCAGCAGAGAAAAGGGTGGCCCTGGTGGAGGGCCCTGTGCTTGGGCAGGAGAGAGGGTGAACTATGGGGCACTGGGGAGCCGCGGTAGGATCCTGAGCAGGGGGGCAGGGTAATGATCTGAAATACAACCTTTATTAGGAGTTATCACAGACCCTCACAAAAACACTGCAGCAAGTTTAACATATGTCTATGTTTGTACCAATGACCAGAACAAATAAAACTTAACAGACGCGATGGAGGCCCATGGTCTCCGGCTCAGTCCAAGGTCTCGCACTGTGAATGGTAACCACCGACTAGAGTCTGTACTTAGGTTTCCCCTCCTTACATGATTTTACGCTTTAACATACCATGTGGTCACAAACTATGTGGAGTGTTGCTTTACGTGATTTTAAACTTTGCATAAATAATGGGACAACATCCTCCTGCAATTGGCTCATTTCATCGACATCATTTACCTTTTTTTAGCTAGTAGGATTTTTATTTTAAAGCTTTGAAAAACAGAGGTGTAATGCACACATAAAATGTACAAAACACATGTTTCAGTTGTAGGGCTTGGTGCATGTTACCTATATGTACACAAGCATGAGCAGCACCCAGATCAATTCGTAGAGATTTGCCATCACCCTGGAAGGTTCCATTTGGCCAACAGCCTCCTGCCCCCAGGTGTAGCTGCTTTCCCTGGGGCCTGCGGTCTGTTCTGTGGTGGCGTGGAGCGCGGGTGCTCTCTCATTGCTGTAGCTGCTGTTGCGTGGCTCATGCAGCGTTTGTTTCCAGTTGGGGACTGTCACGCAGGCAACATCGTGCCCTGTGCTCAGTGCTCTAGGGTGGATGCCCAGGGGTGGGATTGTGGAGTCCCTGGTCAGGCCAGTATTGAGATTTGGTAGTGACCGCTGAGCATGGCTGTGAGATGTGGCCATGTCAGCACACCCAGCCCTGGGCCATTCACTGAGTGAACAGAATATTCTTCTGGATGAATTGACAATTGTTCTGCCCCCCTCCTGATGGCTGCCATTTGGGCCCTTTCCCGTCATTAGCGCTTACTGAGTGGCAGTGCGTGTTCTCGAACGTGTCTTTGTGCTTGTATGAAGGGTGCACAGAGGGTCAATGGTGCAACTGGAGGCAGGTCAATAGGAAAACAGTGACATTGTTCACTAGGCTCTAACTGAAATTCAGCATCTCTTAGTGGACTCTGTGAAATCCCAGGGGGCTTAGAGGGCATTCAGTAGTAGATATACAAGATGTACTGCATATATGTCGTATGTTGCCTTTCTGTAGTATATTAGACACATAAACTTAAGGCTATAAATTTCCTTCCAAATACTTTAGCTGCATTGCACATGTTTTGCAATGCAGTATTTTCATTATCTCTCAGTTCAAAATATAATTATCCCAGAATTTCTTTTTTGACTAATGGATGATTTGGAACTGGTTTCCAAACAAATGGAGATTTTTCTTCTTGTTTTTAAACTAAATTGCATTGTGGTCAGGAGACTATTTCCCCCAATCTTGCTTTAGAACCCAGTGTGTGCTAGAAAGGAAAATGTCTTTAGTTGCTGAATACAGTGTTCTACATGCACAGACTCATTAGGTCAAATTCATTAATTGTATGGTCCAAATATTCTCTATTTTTACTGATTGGTTTTGTTTATTCTGCTGAGATGAATTCAATTTGCTTATTATTGCTATGGATTCATTAGGCATCACCTGTGGCTGCTCTAGTTTTATGTTCACTGCTGCACTGCACAGTGTGAGCAGATCAGCGCTGTCTGTTCTCCTTTGGAAAGATGAGTGGTTTCCGAGGTGCTCACATGACCTACGCTGCTGTAGTACTACTGCACGCATTTAAAAAAATCTTATTAAGGTATAACTGACATACTAGTTTCAGATGTACAACTTAGTGATTTGAGCACCTATTTCTGCGCGCGCGTGTGCGTGTGTGTGTGGGGGGGGGAGGGGCGGTTCATGGCTTTTCTCAACCACAATGCTGTGGAAAAAATCAGCTGTACAGAAAATTGTTTCATGATCTGTTTTCTCAACTTCTCTGCAAGTGGTAAACACGTAGTTCATTCTGGATGCGTTGAACTAGGGCTTAAGCCTCCTGCCGAACCCCACTGGAGAGGCGCTGAGTCTCCCACTAGGAATGGAACTTCCTGCCCTTGCCAATTTAAACAAGCAAACTATGTCAATTTGCACAACTACCAGTAGTAGAAATACGTCCTGTAACTGCACATTCACTCGGATCTGGTTTCATCCGACATTCTAGTCTTCTCCTCCACCAATCTGATGAATGGGAAACAGCATCTAATTGTGGCCTTTATTTCCCTAATTATTACACGGTCGGACATCCTTTAGCCATTATTTGCCATTTACATTTCATGATCTCATAACTGTTTTACGTATTTCGCCCATTTTTCTACTGTGTTCTTCCTTTTCCTGATGTATAGAGGTTATCTGATTTGTGTACTGATATTGCAAAAGTCCCACCTTAACACTGTTTTGCCCTTTTCTGAGTCCTTCTCTTACCTTTTATCGCTTTGAGAGTGATTTGCTTCACGTCGCGTCTGCCGATCCTCTTACACGGAGGCTCGAGAGTCTGACCCTGCTGCCGGCACTGCCTGCCGACTCCCATCTGTGTTTGCGGCTTTCAGGATGTGCGCCCACGCTCAGGGGGACTCTGGACAGGCGGCCCTTGGGGCTGCGCCCCTCCAGAGAGGTCCTACTCCGGGAAAGTTCTGGCTGCGCGTCTCCAGACCACACGGGCAGCGTGCTTGTCAGCTCTGAGCTAGTGGTTACACGACTTCAGGGGAGACTTTCTCCACCAGCTCTCCAGCTGAGAGAGTACGTAGGGCTCCCGTTCGCCATGGCCGAGAGTGAATAGCTTTCCTCCTCCCTTCTTCTCCTGTGGGTTTACCTGTAACCCTCCAGGATCTCCATTTCACACAGGGGTTTCCACTGCATTTCACCAACTCGTCTACGGAAGCATCCCCTTTGCGAGCTATCTTATGTGCTCGGGTGTGCACATCTACTTTGTTTTATGCATGTCTGTGTTCACAGTGGGAGGGTTTGCAGAACCTTGCCAGGAACAGAGGCCCAGCTCTGCATGGTGGGTGATGACCCACAGGGGCTCTGGAAGCTGGAGCTTGGCCACTAGGGGCGGCAGTGAGGATGGAAAATGGGGTCGGACCCAGGGGCTCCTGGACGGAGGCCGGCAGGGCTTGCTGCAAATGAGTGTGGGCAGTAAGGAGTGGGCATCAAGGATGCTCCCAAGGGAAGTTGGGTGGCGTGGGGGAGGGAGGAGGGGCACAGCCCTCACAGGCAGGAGGGGTGGCAGGGAGTGAGTGCACGTGCCCCCCGTGGAGGGACAAGGCACTCTGCCTGAGCGGAGCCAGTGACGCTGGGCATGGCCGCACGCACGCTGGTGTGAGCCCCTGGTACTCAGAAGTCTGCGCCATGTTGTCACATCAGAGGGAGGCAGGCAGCACATTTAACTAACGAAATTTAATGTACTCACAATATGAACACAGACGGGGTGGAGGGTGGTGGGAGCAGGGGGCGGGGAGGGGCAGCCCTGCACCTGCTAAGTGCTGCCTGTTTGCTTCAGGACAGGGGGAGGGAGGCGTGGACAGTGAGGTTCACGTAAACAGCAATGAAGAACAAAACAAAATCCCAGAACACTCATAACCCATGACCTTCAATAGAACAGCGGCCCCGCTGGCCCGGCCAGATGCAGCGTGCCGCCAGGGGCCTATCTGTGTGCTGCCTGGGAGTTGGCAGCACAGCAGGCTGTATCCCACCGGAGGGAAACGCTTCACTTCCTCCCGCCTGCTGTTCAGGGGCAAAGAGACGAGACTCTAAGATGAGCCTCTTCTGGGAGAAGGGACGGCAGAGGCAGGTGCGCGGGAAGGAGGGTCCTCAGGCTAGAGGGGGTGGCCCACGTCCAGGGAGCCCCTCCTCCTCCAGCAGGCTTGGCAGGCGCTTCCTCCTGGTGCTCTGGGGCCGGGGGTGTCTGCCGCGGCCCCTCATTGGGTCCGGAGCTGGTAATCTAGGAGTAGAGTGGTGTTGGCTATCTCTTGGCACCAGGGAGGGGCTGTCCCCTCCTGCCTGCCCGAAGCTGCCCCCCGAGCACCACCCTGTACCGCGGGAGCCGCACGCACCTCCGTTCTGGGTGATGTACCGGACCCAGGGCAGGGCCTGGTAGCCGCTCTTTTCAATGATCTTCAGGTAGCGCACCTGGGGCACAGGTACCAGGGCAATGAGCATGCACATGCTGCCCTCTTCTGGACCCCGAGTCAGCCCTCCCGCGGCCAGGAGGAGCAGTGGGTGAGCACAGGCTGGGAGGGGTGGGGGGGGGTGCTCAGGGTGTCCATCTGTGCGCGCCACACTGCCAGGCAGTGGGCGGGCTGAGCTGCTTATCGAAGGTGCAGCCTGGAGCCAGGATGCACTCTCACAGGCATGGCCTTCTCCTGGGTCCCCAGAATGCAGGTTTTCTGTGGAGGTGCCCAGGAAAATGGGCCCCGCAGTGGCCCCTTCCAGTGGACACTAGAGGCTCACACTCTAGTTTTCAGGGCCGAATGCATCTCTGAGCTTGGAGCTAAAGCACCGGACAGGTCTGTGTAGACGAGGGTGGGCCTCCTTCCGCCAGTGTCCGCTGCCCACGCAGAAGCTGAGCCAGGGCAGCATGGCTGTTTCTGGGAGAAGCCAGTCAGCACCCTTTTCTAAGCTGGTCACATGGATGCCTGTTCCCTGCAGCCCTCAGAGCCTAGCCTGGCCCCTGGGTCCCTCTGAGGCCCCACTGGGCCTGTCCGTGTCCACTCCATCGGGCAGCGCTGGCCGCACATACCTGGATGCCGGAGGTCGTGAAGTAGGGAATCTCAAACTTGACGCTGATTGGGGGCTTGCCTTCCTTGTCCTCTGCCTCCACGCTGGGCAAGCCAAAGCGGGCCCGCATCAGGTACTCTTTGCCACCCTGGGGGAACAGACGGGCTGGAGATGGTCCAGCTGAGGCCCTGGCCTGGCTTGGCTGACAGCTGTTCAGGAGAATGCCAGGCTGCTAGCCCGGCCAAGAAGCCACTTCCCACGTGGTTACCATTGCCCAGCATCTCAGCCCCTCTACCACATGAACACTCACCCTTCCAGGCCTCCTGCACCCAACCAGCCCTGCTGGGCAGATCAGACGCCACGCTGGGGGAAATCATTGAATTCTGAAGATCAAGAGAAAGTTTCACAAGCTCCCAGGGAGCGAAGACTAGCTGCCTCCAGGCAAACGGAACCAACAAGCCTTGGGAAGAGCAGTGAGGGCCCCTGGGATAAAGCCCACCCTGGCCGGAGCCCCGTGAGCACCCCGTGTGCCCAGTGCTGGTCAGTAGGTGGAAGCAGGAGGGAAGATGCCACAGTGAGGAACAGTGAGCAGAGAGAGGAAACCCCAATGAAAACCACGGTTGAGTGACTGGCAGGCTGGCCTGGGCCCCACCCATGAAGGTAAGTCAGGCAGCAGCTCTGGCCCCGGGAGCTGTGCACTGTCCCTGGAGATGAGGCTGACAGCAGGGCCACGGCGACTGGAACCCTGCTGGCCATAAGGAGTTAGGGTTATTGAGTGCACGCTGAGTCTTGCCCGGAGCAGAAGGGAGCAGAGCCCTCGCCGCATCGGCATGCCACAGTCTTTGATGCCTGGAGTTCTGGCAGCAGGAGGGGCTGCCTACCAGGGCTGCCTCTGCCCGGGAGCAGGGGCCCTCCTTGTGCTTCGCACGCTGAGCCATGGCTCCCCCACTGGAGGGAGCGAGTGGTCAGTCTTTGCTCATCCCCAGCAGGGAGCAGGGACTCTGCCTGAGTCAGTGATGTGTGTGAGTGCGGACTCCAGGACAATGAGGAGAGGGGAGTAACGTGGTCTCAGCAACAGACAAAGCAGGCAGCAAAGGAATAAAATCAACTCCATTAGCCCGTGCATGAAACAATGATCAGACCAAAAATCTGAGCTTTATAAAGACAAAACGGAAAATGAAAGCAAAAGAATATACAGAGGGCTAGGCCCTCTGCACGCCTCCCTTGTGTGGGTCACATTGTTGTAAATGGGTTTAATTCTCCTGTTAATGAGGAAGACTTACATATAGGTTGGCTCACAGACCAAAGCGTAACTCTCTGCTGCAAAAGCAGAGTGAGAAAGGCCAAAAACAGTAGGAAGAATGGGCAGAGGTGTGCCAGCCAAAGGCAAACAGAGCGGGGGCTGCTGCCACAGGAAGAATTCAGCCTGAGAGTTGGAGGTGTAAAGGCAGGCTCAGGCCAAACTCTAGAGGCTGCAGTCCTGTGACCCACAGGCAAGATACAACAGTTATGAGTATCTATGTACCAAATAACATGGCAGTAACATTTATTGAACAGATGCCAGAAGAGATGCCAAGGGACCCAGGTAAGACAGAGTTGAGCCAGCTCTCTGCCTGGCGGATGCTGTCATGGCATTGTGGCTGATTCCATGGGTGCATGTGTCAAATTCTCTACCTGTTGACAGTAGGTATCTTCCTCTCAAGTGTATATGGGATATTTGCAAACTCTGACCTTATATTAGCCCACAGTGAACACTTCTAAAAGTAGAAACAGTACAAATAACATTCTCTGGCCTCCACATACCAAATCTACAGAAAGGAGAAAATGGAAAATCAAATTTCCTTCCATCAGGAAGTTACAAAAAATTCTCTATTCAATTATAGAAGTTCTAAATAACGATGATATCAAATGTTACATGTCAGACCCTATGGGTTATACAGCTAAAACAGGGCTCAGAGGAGCATCTGTGCTTACTTGCAGCAATACAAATTTAATAACAAAATAACCTAAAATACCTAACTTGAAAAATTAGAATTAGAAGAAAAGATGGTGGAAATTAAAATTAAAGACTTATAAAATGGGAAAATGTTATAATAAATAAATTAAATAGCTGATCTGGGAAAAAGACCATAAGGTAACCTTATCAAGGAAAAAAGACACAAATATGCAAAATAAGAAATACCAAGAAAGAAGTAACGGTTAGAAGAAAAAAAAAAGACCACTTTCTACAACTTTGTGCAGATATATTTGAAAACCTGGTTAGGATGGATAATTTACCCAAATGGACTCCAACAGAAATAGAAACTCTGAATTGCGCAGTTTCCATTCCAAGAGATAGAGAAAGGAGTAGTTATCATGATGCTCATACAGCTGAATTCTCTCAACCCTCTCAAGACCAAACACTTCCAAGGAGACTTAAACTGTTTTGCAGCATGGAAAAGGGAGACAAAAAAATTATGAAATGGGTATGACACTGACCTCTAATTAAACTGTACCCAGAAGAAAATCAGTCTCAGTTATGAGAATCAATGCAAAAATCCTAAATACAATGTCAACCAAAAGAATTCAGTGGCACATTAAAAAGAAAATAAACCATGATAAGATGGAGCTTACTAGAATGCATGGATGGTTCAAGAGCCATCCCATTAATAGATCTGAACTGACAGAGACCCTCAAGGGGCAGTTGACTAAATTTGTTGCCCATTTGTGCTAAAGACAAAGGAAAGTGGGCCTGGACTGAGTCCATGGCCCAAAGCAGCACCACACTTGGAGGGAAAGCCTGGTGGCCCCTGTTGGAGGGAAGGCCAGAAAGCCGCTCTCCCCATGGTCACTCATGGGCCCAGGAGGAGCAGCCAAAGCAATGAGATGCCAGAAGCCACCAGATGCCCAAGAATAGGAGGGAAAAAGGCAAAACTACATCTGAATGTAAATGTAAATGACATGGAAGAATATCTGGAAACCTATGAGAAACAAAAGCAGCAGAAGTGAAGTGTTAATTCTTCCCAATGAATTTATAAATTTACAGCAAACAAACTAATTCTGAAATTCATAAGGAAAACATGCAAGAATCACTATGAAACTGACACGCAGCGGTTGGGAGAGTCAGGGTAAGGGGCTGGCCCTTCCAGATGTTCACATGGAACGAAACCCTGAGTTATGTGGCTTTGTGCCTTGCTGCATGGAGAGACAGGTAAGAGGACATTCAGAAAGAGACCTAATATCCGATAAAGGGTTGACATCCAAAATACATAAAGAGCTCACACACCTCAACAAACAAAAAGCAAATAATCCAATTAAAAAATGGGCAGAGGAGCTGAATAGATAGTTCTCTAAAGAAGAAATTCAGATGGCCAACAGACACATGAAAAGATGCTCCACATCACTTGTCATCAGAGAAATGCAAATTAAAACCACAATGAGATATCACCTCACACCAGT